TTATTTTTTTGACGGCGTTTTCGCTCCCCCGCGCACGCTCCCATCCAACATCTCGAGGAGTGTCGCGAATCATTTAAATTGAAGAAACGTCGCAAAAATTTGGCGCCCAACGTGAGACCACGTCGCCAACAAAAGAAAATTTTAGCGCCTGAAAAAGGGGCACGCGTTGAGAAAGAGAAAGTTCGGGGAGCTTATGCGAGCTATATTATTTGCCGAATCATTTCAGAGTCACTCTTCTTCTGTCGTGTTTTCGTTTCTTCTGTAGTTAATGCTTTCGTTCGAACGTTTCTTTCGCCGACCTTTACGTATTTGTTGTCGATCTTCGATTGTATGAACAATAACGGCCTTATCTTGTGTTATTGAGCTATCGACGTGATTATCGCGGTGATCAGGCCACGTCTTGCTGAGTTCGAGCTTATTTATTTTGTTTCGAGTTTTTCCCTCTGTATCGTATGAATCAAGTAGACCCAGAGGACGACTGGATTTTCGTGTTAAGTCGCGAACAATTATTAGAAGAATTACAGCGGCGTAAACTTTCAACGGAAGGAAGTTATTCAATTCAGACAGCGCGTTTGCTGCGTCGCGTACGCAAAGATCGAAAATTTAATACAGACAAAATGTCGGACGAGGAACTTTTGGAAATCCCTACGGATGCGAGAGCTCGACCTGATAGCCCGATGGATCGGGCGAGACTCAGCATACCCTCTGGCTCTCGCGATACTCCGTGCTCGAAAGAACGAGATTTTCCGCGTGAATACATGGGAAATTCCGCGATGACGGCGTATAATGTCATGCGTAAATGGAATCTTAAATTCTCGGGTACGCGAGGGGAGGATGCGGAAACCTTCTTACTCCGAATTGAGGAAGGTCGCGAGTTAGTTCCCGTATCCGACGAAGACATCTTACGTTGCTTACCGTTCTTTCTAACCGGCATAGCATATTATTGGTTCCGTAGTAAATGCAATCGGCTGTCGGATTGGAACGCGTTTAAAGATGCGTGGAGAACGCGATTCGGGGACCCAGATTTTCAATTTGCTCTCCGCGAAGAAATTATGCGAAGAACTCAGGGAGAACATGAGTCTGTCGCTGATTTTTTTTCACATATATTCGAATTATGTTCGATCGGTTGTCGCCACCATGGACGGAATCTGAGCAAGTAAGCAGCGCGTTTCGAAATTTATTATCGCGCTTCCAACAATCCATCCATCGCAATGAGATGGGAAACTTAAACGCTTTAGAAGGTTTGGCGACTCGCGTAGAAGCAAGTTACTCGCTGTCGCAACGTTATCGGGCACCCCCGACTCCGGAAGTCATTGTTTCCGGATCTCGCATACCATGCGCCGCGTAATACGAAATAGCCCTCGCGAGGCCGCGAAACTTTGGTCGCGTTGAGTACATTTGAGGCGGAATCAGAGTCAAAATCGAACTCGCGAAAGGAGAAGAGAAATAAAAATCGCACAGCTCGAGCCGCGACCGGGACGGAGGCCGCACAAGAGGCTTCGTCGTCCTCAGGGGCGACAGCCGCAGATTCGACAGCTTCGCGAAATTCCACGCGAAAGTGCTGGAATTGTGAGGGCGTAGGTCACATTTCGCGAAATTGTAAAGCCGCTCCGCGATTGCACTGTTATCGTTGCGATCGAGCGGAAGTAACGTTACGAACGTGTCCCGACTGTTCGGGAAAAGAGTAGAAGAGTCAAATAATGGGGGGGAGGGACCCGACTCCTGTTAAACCCCAACCCCCTTTTCGTGTCGTTAATTGTTCTCGTGAATTTTCGTTCAGTGCTTTTGGTTGTCGTGACATTCCATTAATGTTATTTATTCGTATTAATTTATTAGGAAATGAGATTAGCGCTCTAATGGATTGTGGTTCGACTCGTACTTTTTTAGGATCTAATGTTGTCGAATTGGTAAACAGGTTGAATTTAAAATTTCGAAAGTCGGATGGCCGACGAGTAGTTACGGCAACCGGCCAAACGACACGTGTTAGGGGGAAGGTGGATCTTCCTTTTTCGTTATGTGGTAGGATTAATTCGTTGAAAGCGTATGCTTTGCCGTCTTTAGCAATCCCATGCCTTCTGGGACTTGATTTTTTGAGCTTGTTTAGTATAATAGTAAATTTTTCACGTCAAGAATGGTATTTTGAAGATGAACCAGCCAGGGTATATCGTTTCGAGAATCAGCCGGTAAATTCCATTTGTCATGTAAATTTAGTCGAGAATTCCGTTAGTCGCGAATTAGATGATTCTTCCGCGTGCGGAAGCGCAAATGTAGCGGAAACGAAGCCGAAAAAGAGCCCGCGAGAAAATAGTCTGTCGATCGCGAAAACAACCCGTGCTCACAAAACCAAACGAGTTCGGCTGTCGAAATCTGATCCGTTTATTTGCTGCGGTTTACATGAGCTGTCGTCGCGCGAAAGTAAAAAATTAGCTAAATTTTTGAAGAATCATATCGTGGGCGATCCGGATAAACCGGGAGCGACCAATTTAACCGAACATAAAATTGATGTCGGCATAATCCGATTAAACAACAATATTATCCCGTTTCGCCAAAAATTCAGGAAGCGATCTATGTGGAAGTTGATAAAATGTTAGCGGCAGGAATTATCGAGCCCTCTAAAAGCGAATGGTCTAGCCCGGTCGTAATAATAAAGAAACCTAACGGCAGCTATCGATTTTGTCTCGATTTTAGGAAATTGCGTTTCGAAGAAGGATGCGTACCCATTACCATACATGAACGCAATCCTTGATAAACTGAGATCAGCCAGTTATATTTCGATTATCGATTTAAGCCAAGTATATTTCCAGATTCCGCTTAAGAGAAACAGTCGCGAATTAACTGCATTTACAGTATCGGGTAAAGGATTATTTTATTTTACCCGAATGCCATATAGCCTCACTCTACGGTACCTCCGTACCATCCGCAGGCTAATCCGGTAGAGCGAGTTAATCGAATACTCAAGACTATGATTACAGCTTTTCTCGAGAACGATCATCGCGAATGGGATGTACACTTGGCTGAATTCAGATTCACTTATAATACGGCATATCATACTTCTTTGCAAGTTACTCCAGCGTTTTTTAATTTCGGCAGGGAACCGCCGCCGGTTAACACCGTGCGTGGGAGGCATGAGCCAGCTGTCGAGGTAGCGGAGACGAATCCCGCGAATTGGAAAGAGCGCATGGAAAGAATTCAGGCTTTACGGAATTGGGTAGTAGAAAATTTAGAGGCTGCGCATAGTAAACAGGCGCATTATTACAATTTGCGAAGACGAGATCACCGTTTTGCGATTGGCGAGCGAGTTTTGAAGCGGCAGCATGTGTTGTCGTCCGCCGCTCAAAATATTTCAGCGAAATTAGCGACTAAGTACCACGGTCCGTTCACTATCGCGAAAATGTTGTCGCTGGTAGTGTACGAGTTGCCTGATAGCGTTCATAGACCAATAGGCAAAGTGCATATTAAGGACTCAAAACCATATATTGTTCCACCTGACCCCCAGGCATATACCTAAATAGCAGAGAATATCGCGAGAGTTTCGTGAGAGATATCGCGATGTTTTAGAAGCTGTCGACGAGCTGCGCCTCGGCTTCTGGACAGCCATGGCGACGAGCTCAGACGCCTGATGGAGGAACGCGTCACAACTCGCGGCGCTGTGGTGCGCGAATTCCTCACGCAGGCCGAGGCCGAGATACAGGCTGTCGTCGAGACCCGAGACGCCGCTACGGAACCGGCTGTCGATGCGGCCCGTGAGGTCGCCGTGCAGGCGGAACTAGTGAGTCCTGAGCCGGACTCTATGTCGGCGGAAGGAGTAGAGACCCCAGAGCAGGAACTTCCCTGGGAGAGCCCTCGGGAGCGGAAGCTCTCTCCCGCCTCCCTGGAGTGGCCGAGGCCTTCCGCCGGACCTCTATCGCCGGTGGCTCCGGGCGCACCAGAAGGCTGCTAGAACTGTGGTTCCAGGAGCCATTTAGCTCGGGAGTGTCCCTGTGAAGAGAGAAGGCTGTATTGTTTCCGATGTGGCACGCCGGGAGTCACCGTAAAATCCTGCTCGTATTGCCGCCAAGGGTGGTTGGCCCAGGGACCATACATTCCCGGCAGGGGCCACGAGGGGCCCAATCCACTGAGAGGTCGCTAAGCGAGGGGTGGCAATCGCCCAAGGCCTTATTAGTACGCTGTCGTTATTGGTTATTTTTTTTGCTCTTTTTTTTGTGTTTTACTCGCGTTGTCATTTTGGTTAATAGCCCCTGCTGTGATGTAAAATAGAATAAATAGACTTCGACCACTTCCTGTTTCTGTTTTTGGTTTTCCTTTCTCTTTAGTGCCGCAATCCTTTTTAGTTATCGTTACGCGTCGTTAGCGTACCGCGTCGCGAGCGTCGTGCGTAAGGAACGTGATCACGAGCCCCGCGAGAGACGACCTCGCGAACCAGAGTCAGGAACAGCGATAGCTGACCGCTTATCGTTGTTCTTATTAGTGAAAAGTTTCGGAAAATTTTTTGTTTGTGTGTTAATATTTTGTGTTCGTGTCTTCCTCGGCTCCGGGGACTTTGATCGCCCGGACGCGTGACAGCGAACGAATGAAAGTTCGATTAGTGGCTATGGGCCACTTATTTATAAATAACTCAAATAAAAAAATATTTAAAAATCCTTAATATTAGTATCAATTATATATTTAACAAAATCTATAAGATATGTAAATAATGTAGTTATATAAATAAATTATATAATAAATATATAATTACCTAATATTATATTCCTTCTTTTTTTTCTCTCTCTCTCTCTCTCACTCTCTTTCTCTATATTCTCTCTCTATTCTATCTTTCCTTTATCTTCTTTCTCCCTTTCCCTCTTTTTTTCTCGCTTTTTATACTTATTCTTCTTTGACTTTAAAGAAATAAAATATTTATATTAATATCCCTCTTTCACTATCTCTCTTTTAATACTCTATTATATTTTATTTTTCTCCTTTTTATAATTTAACAAATAATTATAAAAATTTTGAAGCTACAATAATTTTCGAATTATAAGCAATTAAAGTTTGCGAGCTCAGATCCGTAACAACATTTATACATTTATAGGTGTAGCAATCTGTCATCTGTTATTGATTTTTTCACATTCGGTGATATTGATTTTTACTCCACAGCTAATTTCATTTAAATAATAACTCAAAGAAAAAAAGGATTGAAAAATCATTAATCCCTACTTTTCATTACATATTTTTGTAACTTATCTCAAGAGCTTTCCAAAACACAATAATTAAATATTGAATATTTTACGAACTTTCTTCTTACTTTTTATGCTTATTCTTCTATCTTCTCTTTTTCTCTCTCTCCTACTTTAAAGAAAACATTTAATGTTTAACATTTAAACATTTATTTCTGTTAGAAATCCGCCCTAAGTCACCACTATTGGACGATTGTAGCGCCCCGCGGTGAGCTGCACGGCTCACTCCTTTTGTTTCCTGTCTAGTATCTTTTTAGTGTCTTTTCTCTTTTGTTCCACAAATGTAACACGCACAGTCAGTCGCAAATAAACGCATGTAAAGTTTTCGCATAAACGATCGTCTCACTCCAGCAAAAATATCCTCAACAGGTTATGGGCCCAGGAGTTATTAATCGCCTGACTACTTAGTTTTACTCAGTTACCAAACGTTAGTAATCTGCAGGAATAACAAAAAAAAAAAAAAACAAGAAATCGTGCCACGGAAGACACGTGAAATTGCAACGCCATTACGCGACGAATATGGACGGACAAGGGGCGAACATAACGCGCATACCATTGCTATCCAGAGATAACTACGATACCTGGAAGCTAAGAATACAGGCATTGATGACAAAAAATAAAACATGGGCCTACGCGAGTGGAGAAAGACCGGCACCGCAAACTGCCGAAACACTGCAAACGTGGAGGGAAGAGGACGGAAAGGCAAAGGCTGATTTATATCTCGCAGTCGGTGACGCCGAACTCAAGCAGATCCGATACTGCACAACGGCCCGGGAAATTTGGCTGAAGCTGGAGTCGATTTTCGAATCAAAAGGACCTGCGAAAAAGGTATCGTTATGGAGACGATTGACGAGTCATCGACTTGGTGAAAATGGCGACGTACAACAACATGTCGACGAATTCTTCGACATAGTCGACAAATTATCAGAATTATCCGTACAGGTCAGTACCGAATTACAATCCATTATGCTGCTACATAGTTTACCCGAAAGTTTCGAGAATTTTAGATGTGCAATCGAATCGAGAGATGAATTACCCACCCCGGAAAATCTAAAAATCAAAATTCTTGACGAAAATACAACGAGAAGACAACGGGGCCAAGTCGATGATCGCGCCATGTTTGCTCGAAAGGGAAAGCCGAACATAAAAAGAATCAGTAAAGCAACCAATAAATCCATCGACAAGACAAAAGATTCTGACGCCACGTTCAAATACAGGTGTCATCGGTGCCGAAAAATTGATCACAAGGCCATTGATTGTCCCGAGAAAGACGAGCGGTGTACGAAACGTCATGAAAACAAGGAGAAGGCTGCCGTCGGTGAGGACATTTCTTTCCTAACCTCTGTAGCTAATGTTATCTCATGTTCCGCAGGAAATGATTGGAAGGATAACGCCTGGTGCATTGATAGCGGATGCACATCGCACCTATGTCGCGACGAGGAGAAATTTGAGGAAATATCAAACACCGAGAACACGAGACTCAACCTGGCAAATCATGGCTCCACCGACATAAAGGCGAAGGGCACCGTGAAGGTCACTGCCACAGATGGAAACACGACCAGAGCCGTGTATCTGGAAAATACACTACACGTACCCGATCTAAGGAATAACCTAATTTCTGTTGCTAAGATCACGGACGCCGGAAATCGTATCATATTCACAAAAGAAGGGGCAGAGATAAAGAACAAAAGGGGAACAACGGTCCTTGTAGCAGATAGAAAAGGAGACCTATACTTTCTTCGCGAATCGAGAAAGGAATCGACTTATGCAGCCTCGACTAAAGCAAATAAATCACCGATGGCTGTTTGGCACGAGAGATTCGGCCATTTAAATTGGAACGATATCCTGGAAATGAGCAGAAAAGAAGCAGTATCTGGACTCCACCTGGGAAACGACAAAACGGTTACCACTTGTGAGGTCTGTGCGGAGGCCAAACTCACGGCAAAGCCGTTCGGCAAACAATCGCAAAGGTGCAGTCAGATATTGGACATCGTTCACACTGATATATGCGGGCCGATGCGAAATGAATCCAGAGGAAGAGCCAGATATGTTCTCACCTTCACAGACGATTATTCCCGCTGGACAGAGGTGCGCTTCCTACATAAAAAGAGTGAGACATTACAGGCATTTAAAGAATTCAAGGCCCTCGTCGAGAAACAGACCGGACAGAAAATCAAGAGCCTTCAATCAGACAACGGACGAGAATTCTGCAACGAGGAGTTCGATAAATTCTTGAAAAAGGAAGGGGTCAAACGAAGACTCACAACGCCATATACATCTCAGTTAAACGGAGTGGCTGAGAGGAAAAATCGCACTCTTATGGAAATGGCACGCTGTCTGATGACGCAATCGAAACTCCCCATCTCATTCTGGGCCGAAGCAGTGGCTACTGCGAGTTACATTAGAAATCGATGCATCACGAAGATATTAAACAGAAGAACGCCATTCGAACTATGGCACGGGAGACGTCCAAACGTAGAACACATGCGGATTTTTGGAGAGGCAGGCTATGCGCTTGATAAGGTTCCCGGAAAAGGAAAGCTTGATTTACGAGGAATAAGGTGCAACTTTCTCGGGTATGATGAACCATCCAGAAGCTATCGAGTTTGGGTCCCAAACAAGCAGAGAGTGATTATAACGCGCGATGTAAAATTTTTCAATGCTACCGAAATAGTGAAAGGATCAGCCGATACTCCAAGGAAAATACCTGCATACTCTGAACTTCATATAGGTCTCGAAAACGGCAAAGGATCAGAGAACGGACAGCACGAGCTCGCCACGACTGAAGTAAGTGAGGAAAATCACGAGGAGCAGCAGGAACTCGTCATGACTGACGAAGACGAAGAAAATCGCGACACTCCCATCAACGCTTTCAAAAGGGGGCCGGGTAGACCCAAGAAACTCCTTACGGGAAGGCGAGGTCGTCCACGAAAACTATATCAGCTTCTACAGGAAAGAAACGAATCACTAGAAGCCAACGGAGAGGAAGACGTCGACCGTATTTCTAATCACGAAGAATCGATTGATTCGGACACACCGGAAGTAAATTTGACAAGTATTTCATCGGAGATTCCCTACCAACAGGCAATAACAGGACCACATAAGGATGAATGGGAAAATGCAATCACTGAGGAAATTGAGTGCTTAATCAAGAATAATACATGGCGAATCGTCGAGCACCCTAAGCATCACCATGTCATTGGATGCAGAATGGTCCTAAGGAACAAGTATAAAGCAGACGGACAGATTGAGAGGAGAAAAGCGAGACTCGTGGCAAGAGGCTTCACACAGCGACCCGGTATCGATTATCACGATACCTTCGCTCCCGTCGCCCGATTAGGATCTTTACGCTTACTACTTGCTCTCGCAATCAGGCACGACTTTAAAGTGCATCAACTGGATATTACAACTGCTTATCTAAACGGCAACATTGAAGAAGAAATTTATATGGAATTACCCGAGGGACTCGCGGAAAGCTTGAAGAAAATTGCCTCCCGGAGGGGAGACAAAAGCACCATCGGAGATCGTGCGAAGAAAATGTTAAAGCAGATCCAAGGAGGAGACAAAGCTTGTCAGCTGCAAAGGGCACTCTACGGATTGAAACAGGCTGGTCGTCAGTGGCACAAGAGATTAAACGAGAGACTTAACTCTCTGGGTCTCACATCAACCAACGCAGATCCGTGCGTCTATTATCTCAAACGAGGGGGAGATCCCCTGTTCGTCCTAGTCTACGTAGACGATATTTTGATATTTTATCGCAGAGAGAAAGATCTTAACATTGTTCGTAAAGGTTTGTTACAGGAATTCGAAGTTAAGGATCTGGGAGATGCACGCTATTGCTTGGGAATCGAAATTACCAGAGGTGACGACTACATCGCGATCTCTCAGTCAGGATACATTCGAGAACTTCTATCACGCTTCAGGATGGAAGATTGCAATCCCGTTCTTACTCCTATTGAGATAGGTGCAAAGCTCGACAAGGCCGTCGACAAATCGAGCAAGGTCCCAGAAATGAGGCCCTATCAGGAACTCATCGGAGCACTCAACTACCTGGCTATTGCGACGAGACCAGATATATCCCACATCGTTAGCCGCCTTAGCCAGTTCAACAACTGCCATAATGAGCAACATTGGAAAGCGGCGAAACGCGTCTTACGCTACCTGAAAGGAACCACGGATCTAAAAATCACGTATACCAAAAGCTCGGGGACTCTGGAAGGTTTTGTGGACGCAGATTGGGCCGGGTGCCCGGTAGATCGAAAATCCTACACTGGATTTGTTTTTCTGCTGAATAATGCTGCTATCAGTTGGGAATCCAGGAAGCAACGTACTGTCGCCCTCTCCTCTACTGAGGCGGAGTACATGGCATTGACTGAGGCTACGAGGGAGGCCTTATACCTACAAAAATTCGTGTCAGAACTGGGACTGCTCAATCTCAAACAGGTCAGGGTGATGAACGACAATCGAGGAGCTCAACTATTGGCACAAAGTCACACTTTTCATGCAAGGTCAAAGCACATCGACATTAGGCACCACTTCGTAAGAGATGCAGTTCTTGAGGGTCGACTAAAGATTGAACACCTGCCCACAGAAAGGATGCCAGCGGATTTTCTTACCAAAAGGCTATCCGGAAACAAACATCACAAATGCTTAAAATTGATCGGAGTCAGAAAAACAGCGAACGATGAGAACAGCGCTACATTCGAGGGGGAGTGTTAGAAATCCGCCCTAAGTCACCACTATTGGACGATTGTAGCGCCCCGCGGTGAGCTGCACGGCTCACTCCTTTTGTTTCCTGTCTAGTATCTTTTTAGTGTCTTTTCTCTTTTGTTCCACAAATGTAACACGCACAGTCAGTCGCAAATAAACGCATGTAAAGTTTTCGCATAAACGATCGTCTCACTCCAGCAAAAATATCCTCAACAATTTCCAAAAATTAAATATATTAAAGATAATAATATTTAATAATAATATTCATTAACTAATATTCCTCTCTTCTTTACTTTGTATGTCTCTCTCCCTTTTTGTTTCTCTCTTCTTCCACCCTTTTACTCTTTAACTTTAATTTATTTTATTTTTCTTCTTTTCAACCTGTCAAACTGTCAAACTGTCAAACTGTCAAACTGTCGAACTGTCAAACGACACGAATGAAATAAGTCGCTCAGCAAATTACTATTGACGACCAATAACCAATCATCATCGCGGAAAAGATGCAACAATGTCAATAACATGCCTTTCTTAGAGAGGGATTAATAGCTTCACTCTTTTTTTGGGGTTTTGTTTTTATAGAAATACTGGTGTCTGGAACAAAAAACGATGAAACGATGAAAGACCAAACGATTAAATGTGTTTTTTAAATTAGTAAAATGTTCGCTACTGTTTCATTTTATCCGTAAAAATTTACCTTTTTTTAGAAAGAATAATTAACTATATTTAACAACATGATAATTATGAAACGAGCGATAAGAGCCTAAAAACGCGGATGGTAATACGTAAATTTTTTTTCCAAACATTAATTGTTCGCGAAAAAATTTTTTCGCCCGGTAAGCGAAAGACTCGGGTTCGATTCCCGATTCAGCGATTTTGCCCCGATATTTTTCCTGTCTACATCTCTTCAGGGGAGTAAAGAGAGTGTTATAGAAGTCTCAAACCAAGAGAATCTATAACTTAGCATATACACCAAGTAAAATATGTGTATAAATGCCTTGTGCACGTCTTCAAAAATTTTTTCGCGAACAATTATTGTTTGGAAAAAAAAAATCGGACGCAATACGAGTTCAAGATCCGTTATTACAGACCACAGATTGTCATATAATCATGATTTTAAATAGGACGACATAACAGTGCTGGATAATGAGCCTAATCTTTATAAAAGAATTTTGTCTGAAGCAATTTTTATTAAAAGACAAACTAACGGTTTAAACTTTTAAACTGACACCGAATGTTTACCTAACTCATACAACAGTTTGATAAACAATCTACATAAGCTCTGACGACATTGTTACTCTTGTATATAAACGTCGCACTTTAGCTCTTACTGCCGCATTTGTATTTTATATGTGTATCGTATTATCCAAGATATTTTCACATTTATTTCCAACTGAAGAAATTGCTGTAATTGAGTGACTTACTTTCTGTTTTAAGTTTGAGATTGTTTAGAACGGGTTCTTGATTTTGCTATCTTTACATTTATTTAGCACGAGATCACTTACTATGGAAGCACACCCACTGGCAAATAAACTAGCAGGGGACCCACATGGTTTCAGTGTGTCTCTGCAATTAATTATAACAAAGTTTTTCCGTTTTCGTTTTGTTTTTATTAATGCGTATATTGGACCATAATTTTTAACTTGTAATTTTGTTAGCTTTCATTTTTATTTATTGACGATTGTTTTATTGCGCTGTTATCAGACAACCATATTCAATGCGTTTCATTAGACCATAATTTTAACTCATTTTTCCGTTTATTTCACTCGTTTTTTATTTATCATTATATTATTGCGCTGAAGAGGATCGGAAAATCGATCGAAACGTTCGCCTTTAATAACGTACCTATGTTTTGCTCGTTTCGGTATTATTGTAATGTCACCGTCGACATAGACTTATTTTGATGTACATCTTGACATAATTAAACTTTTGTAATATACTTGTTTTCTTGCTCTACAAGCCTTTTATAACTAATTGTAAAAAAAAAAATTACCATCCGCGTTTTTAGGCTCTTATCGCTCGTTTCATAATTATCATGTTGTTAAATACATAGAGCCGTATTCTTTATAAATTTATTTTTAACTATATTTAATTAAATTATTATTTATTATTTATAATACAAGCTTAATTTCACACTTTTATTTTAAAAAGTAAAAAAACATTGTGCCAGATACTACCATGCCTCTTGATTTATAAGATGGCTAATTTTCAACAAAATTTCTATAATGTAACAAATAAATAAATACATACGAACTATTTGTTAAACGTGGAGGAGTCAACAATTTTGTCGACAAATTATTACTATCATCCAATAATAATAGACTGTTCTCCTCAAATGAGGAGCCGTATGTTTTTTTTTGTCATTACCCTTTTTTTTATTTTCGAGTGATCTATCAGAATTTATATCGGACGAATATTCTGCCTTACGGCATTTTTCTTGTGCTATGGAATAATTGGCTAGAACAAAATAAGTATAACGTTACAACAATGCAATAAATAGATTTTTCTGTCAATTAATACAATCGAAACACAATAAATGATATATTTACCGAAAGTTTCATTTCAAGTCGAATGGGATATGAGGGCCCAAGAATAATTAGGTGCGTCATGATTTTTTATTGCAGATATCATTTTGTCAGATGTAAGCGACGGCCAATAACACTTGTTATTTTGTATCCAATTCGTTGGAACTACTTTCACAGTATTTTCATCTGTAAACATGACAATTGTCCATGTCTTCGCCATTTTTTCCTGCAAATTATTAACAATTTATGTACGCAACTTCAAATTAATAATTTCAAATATTATAAATATTCGAAATCAAGCCGTTAACAAATAGAGGGGGACTCGATTTTTTGTCTTTTTGTAAAATTTTAACTGTCATATATATTCTCAAAACAATTATTTTTGAATATTATAATAATATTATTAATATTATAATATTATAATATTATAATAATATTATAATAATATTCTTTATAATAATATTCTTTTCAACATTATTCATCATTTTTTAAAATACTAAGAAGTGCATAAATTTAAAATTTAAAAAAATGATTTATTTCTATTTTTATTAATTGTAATTGTAAAATATAATCTTAATAAATATAATCTGAAATAATTTAATTTTAATTGTAAAATATAAAAATAAATTGTAAAGTGACATATAAATAATTCTAAATCAAAAATTTTTAATATATTAAAGTAAAATTCTTAAAATCTATAAAATTAGATGGAATGAAGCAAGGGAAAAATAACAAATTTATCTTTAAAATTTAATCTTATACATTTATGCGATATTTCATTTTTATTCCAACTTTGAAGATTGTTAACAACGTTTTCTACTAAATATATAAAATCAGAATCCCAAATCAGAAAACTTACATGGTTCATTATAAAAATCTTTTTTTGATTTATATTTATTTCCAATAATCACTGTATTTTTATCGTTATTAGCAAAATTTTTAATTAAAACAATGTCACCATTATTTAAACTGCAACAATTATCTGAGTTTTTTATTTTTAGAGTAAAATTAGAGTAAAATTAGAAACATTATTTTTTCCCACTGATTAGTATACAAAAATTGATCTAAAGGACCGTTATCTTGTTTATTTAATAATTTAAGTTTCGAATTCAGATTATTTTCTTCACTTAATTCCACAAAATTTTCTTCATTTATATGATTAATTATTTGTTGCAATGGTTTATCTAATTATGTTTTTTTCTAATGTATCCTTTTATTTTTTGCATAAAATTTTCGAAGGGATAGGCATTGTATTTTTGTAACATTCCAAATTTTTTTACATCATCGCATATATGTAATAAATTATGAATATTAATTGAACAATTATCTTTGCTATACAAAATTATATTAGTTTTTATGAAATAATTAAAAAGAGAATTAGCGTAATCTAAATATCTAACATGATGAGGCTGAGATGATAAAATAATGACAGCTACATTTAAAGACATAACATTAAGATAATTATCACGATTAAGTATAGATTTTAAAACAACAGGACCTGTGTATAATAAAAATTGTCTGAATTCTATAGCTTTCCATCTTCTACTTTCTTCTAATGATTTTGGTTTACGATTAAATTCTAATGGAATATTTTTTGTTGAGTTATATTATTATTATTATTATGTGCAATGGAAAGGCGTAAATGATCGTGTTTGTATATTGAACTTTAACAAAATATATATTTAGAGCAAATCAATGGACTACTTGTCGGCTTGATGGTTTAAGGAAGAAGAAGGAATCACGCCGGCAGAATCGATCGTAAATCCTCCCTCTACATTTGTGCGCATGTGCGACGCTGTATATATGTTTAATGCTCAAGCGCCACATATACTTCTCGCTTTAGAAGCAATACATAAGAATACAAGAAGCATTCAAAATAATTAACGCAACACTCCCACTCTTTTAATGCTTCTTGTTAATTTCGATTATATTCAGTTCTGTACGCAAACGCATGAATTTATCTTTAGTCAATGCCTTTGTAAGAATATCTGCCAATTGTAGTTCCGAAGGAATGTAAAGCACGTTTAGCTCGCAGTTTTCTACTCTTTCACGAAAAGTGAAAACGCACATCCGTGTTTTGTACGCTTATAGAATTCAGGGTTGACCAACCTAATCGCACTCTGGTTGTCTATGTATAACTTTATCGCTTTGTTACATTCATACTTTAAATCGCGCATTAAACGCCTTAACCAGATTGCTTCTTTTGTGGCGGAAACATACTCTGATTCAGTCGTACTGAGTGTGACTAATTTCTGTCGTTGCGATGACCAAGTAACGGGTCCACTAGCTAAACAAAATACATAACCGGTTGTAGATCTTCTAGTTTCCGCGTCATTCGCAAAATCAGCATCTGAGTATCCTATAATCTCGAATTTTTTATTGTCACTATTATACTGTAGACAAAAATTACTTGTTCCCTTTAAATATTTAAATATACGTTTTACGGCGTTCCAGTGATTATAATTATAATTGTTTAAATATTTACTCATTACATTTACGGCGTACGTTATATCTAGATGAGATATAATTGATAGAAACATTAACGAACTGATTGCTTCTCTGTAGGGTATATCCACATTAGGAACATTAATAGTTTCATTCTATTCTAACAAGTAAACCTCGGGGAACGTCAGACGCCGACTTTTTTCAAACTGTTTACAGTTGTTTCTTATGTCAAAGTATGAAGAAATTTGCCATCATTTTTAGCTCAATTTGAATTTTTCATTTTTTTAAAATTTTTTTAGTTTTACGCAAATACATAATTTTACATATATTTAAAACAATATTTCTTAAAGATGACTGTAGTGCGCATAGTGCTCTGCGCATCCTCTCCATTACAGTGAAGTTGCACACAAGTGCGTGTCGTTCTTGAATCTGGCATACGGCGGCAGCGACTCGTTTATAGAAACACTGACTCGCACGCAGCGATATATGTAAATATAACTAAACCACGTAGTAAGGTAAAGAAATACAAAATATATACAATACAAATTATATATATATATATATATATATATATATATATACATACATATATAGAAAACTTGGATATTATTCTTTACAGAATGTGCTCCGTAAATCGATTCAATATTTTGCAAATTTTGAGTACAAAGTTATCAGACAAGCCAATATTAATTAGTGATCCAAACGAAAGAGAAGAATATGTTGCTGAATGTTTATATAATATCATTATGCAATCTGAAGACTGTCCCGAAATGATTATTGAAACATTAGATTATGAGGATAATTTTGTAGCATTAGATCCTGATGAAATTTCATTCTTTATCAGATCTGATTGTGAAGCACGGAGTAGTTTCGAAGGAGAAATAGATTGGTCAGATGATTCATTGGAGCCTAAAAAATCAAAAGTATATATTGAATATAACAAAAAAGTTGAGACAGTATCATATTGGAGATGTCACAAGAAAAAGAAATGTAAGCCATTTTCTCAAGTGCTTAATAAATATAAATATGTTCCTAATGAACGTGCTTTGTACAGATGGGAAAATCAAATAAAAGAATGTGGATCACGAATAGACAAATTACGCAAAATTTATAATTTTGTATTAAACAAATTTGAAAGTCAAAGAGCGGCAAAAAAAATAGTCCACGATTTTGATATTAAAAAATGGGCAATAAGTAAAGTCAGAGAAATTGAATTAACTCAATTTACAGCATCCGATACATGAATACTAACTTTTAAAAAAGAAGCGAAAATTGTAAGTCGAAAAATTCTAAAATACCAAAATTTCTCCAAAATTTTCACAAAGTGAGACTGATATTATTCGAATGGGTCCAGAATTTTTAAGTACTGTTGAAAAGTCAATATTAATTAATAATGTGTCTGATACTTTCATTTTTAATGCTGATCAAAAAGGAATTCAAAAAGAAATTCATTCAGGAAGATCACTAACTTTTCAGGGTGAAAGAGATGTTCAAGCTATATCGCAGTCTTTATACTCTATGACTCATTCTTATACTCTCATGCCGATTATCAATAAAAACGGTGATATTTTGAAACCAATCTTTATAGTTTTACAAGAACCTAATTGGCCATTAAGTGAAAAAGTTTTAAACAATTTGTATTCTCCTAAAGTTTTATATTACACTGCGACAAAATCTGGAAAAATGAGAAAATTGGAGCTCATTTCCTTTCTAAAAAATTGTTATTATTCTAATTTACCTACTGATACTAAATCAATATTAGTGGTCGATTCATGGTCAACCTATAATAATAAAAATACTATTGTATCAGGCACTCCAATGGATAAAATTTCGACAATAATTCATCAAATCCTCCCAAAATGTACCGCTTTATACCAACCTTTAAATGTATTTTTTTCAGACCGTTTAAAAATTATTTGCGAAAACTTGAGGATATTATTATTGCAGACGATTTAAATTTTGATATATATACTCGTAATAGTATTCTTAAATTAAATGACTTTGTTTGGAATCAAATATCACCACGCTTCAGACCTTTAAGAATTTATGCATGGTATAAAGCTGGTTATGTAGAACAAAAACCATCGGCAGATTATAAATTTCAAACATTTTCACAATTTTGTCTAAATTTTGAGAAATAAACATGCGAAATTTTTAATTGTGATAATATTACATTTAATAGATGTAGTTATTGTAAGCTTCACATATGTGCTCATCATAGTATTATTCAAACTGTTCACATATGTGAAAATTATGTAGACTAATATATTTTATACAATTAATACGTTCACAAAAAAATGATTTAAAAAAATTAAAAATAAAAATAAGAAATAAAAAATATTATAAAATATTATAAAATATGTAAAAATGTAAAAAATAAAAAAACAGTTAATTAGCAAGTGTATTCAATTTTTTTTCCTTCATTGAAGCTTTATTTTTTGAAAAAAGTTTGTTACAAGTTGAACCAAACTTTGCGCAAAAGATTTTCTTTCTTTATGCCCTTTCAAACGATATACTACAGTAAGGGTTGTTCCATTTGGAATTTTTGAGTTGATATTTTGATAAAAGAGCAACTTCTTCAACCCCCATTTAAAAGAGTAACCCCTCGAAATGGTGGAACACTTCTTTCGCAGATTTTTATAATTTTGAACCGTTTCCGAAATATATATAGAGAATGGTAACAGACTTTATGGACACCCTGTATATTATATTATTGTGGTACTTATGTAGTATTATACATACGCCACGTTTCAAACAATCGGGTACATTCATCTTTAAGAA